AAATAAAAAAAAATAAATGTTAAAATGAAAAGATAAAAACATACAAATTAATAAGCTGTTTTTGTCTCAAAGTAACTACAAGAAGTGCATGTTAAAGAAAAACTATGATACATTTTCTATGAACTATTCTCATGCCGCCGGTGTAACGACACTATATAACGGTCCTAAAAACTTTTTCTCAACTACACAATATAGTTGACATCGGAAAAGAGTTATGTCTTCTAATTTCTTAATCAATTGTACAAGAAAATTGGTTCTGAAGCGAAATGTCTCGAGTGTATTTACATTGCATAGTAGTAAAATAAATTGAAATCAAATGTCTTGTTCCATTTACGTTATAACAGAACTGTATTTCAAACCATGTATTTAAAGACCAAGTGACGAAATTTTGTTTTATAATGCTTTCACATACGACAACAGTGCTCTTTTGATATTGCACATGACAAATCAGCTCAATCCATTGTGAGTAGTTGGGACGTTTGAAGAAACTCCAGAAGAACAGACATGTGTAAAGGGGTCTCCTCCAATAGTAGAACGCATAAATTATGTTACACTCATCAAGTTACGTAATTAATATTTCCGGCACGGCATATTAATATGCCAGTTATAGTCAATAAAAAATCGAAACCCACTACTTAGGTAAGCATTATGTGTTCTACAGTTGATTATATGGTTTCGTATCGAATGTGTATTTATTGAAACGGTGAAGTTTTATTGTGGAATCTGACCACTTAAATTTTTTATGCGCTATATATTATATATGTGCCGTTACACTGGTAAACATAATCTCCTTTTATCGCAAAAAAATCGAACTTGGAAGAAACTATGGTAACAGGGAAAGAGACAATTTGTGCGCTTTGCACTGTTTCAAATTTGTTTAGAATTGTTATGCGCTTTGCACTGCTTTAAATTTGTTCTAAATTTGTTATGCGCTTTGCACGGCTTTAAATCTGTTTTAAATTTGTTATGAAAAACAGAACTAGCTTTGAGAAAATAAATTTGTATCGTTTTACATGCCTTTCTACTCCATATCTTTTCTGATGTCACAAAGTCACGTGGTCACATGGCTTCCCTGGTAATTGTAAACCAAGTCTGCATTTGTTTACCGAGTCGGTATTTGTAAGTCGTGTCTCTTAAATCTACAATCATTTGTATTGCTTTGTACCAAAGATGACAAGTTATATTGAATCTGATTAATCAAAACAATAAACACCATTACTCATTCCTCATTCACGTTAGAAGAAATATACATGTACATTATCAAACGAGTATAGAAATAAAATAACATCAGGTATCACAAAGATTAAACAGAAAGTTTGAAATGTTACAGGGATTAAAATAAACATATATGTGTCAAATGCTTGCCAACATTTTGATGTGCCAAACTATTTTTTCTGTTCCGATATAAATGTTATAGCTGAACTGCCTTTTCTTAAAATGTTCGTAAATGATTGCAATTAAATTGCTTGTAAGAAGTAAATAGTCGGGATAAAAGACAAAACCTTAGTCATCGCTTATCAACAAAACCAACCGCTTTTCAACAAAACCAGAATATATTTGAGACTAGAGACTTTTAAAACAAGGATCGTTCTTGGGGCAAAGACCCCAAAGCCTTCGTAATTACAAATGAACAATGAAATACTAGTACCTGAACGTATATACAATAATTACGATAGGCAATATGAAACTACAGAGCCCCTAAGGTGACATTTTCGACACTTTTTTCCCGGCATTTAATTCGTTTTAACGAAATATTAATTCGTAATTACGAATTATTTCTTCGTTTTTACGAAATAATAATTCGTTTTTACGAAATAATAATTCGTTTTTACGAAATCTTATTTCAGGTCATTGTGAGTTTGGCAAAAAACCTACTAATCCCACAAGCCTGTCATTTACAAGCCTGGATCAACCTTGCAATTATAAGCCGAGTGGTTCTCAAAGTAATTATATATAAGTGAACAGGGTTTTTGAGTAAGTAGTCATATTCAATCCAGAATATCCTCTTTTTCCCCCTTATCAAATACATGTTACCATCAGCAATGTTTAAATTTTTTAGGCAATTGATCTTTTCTGACATGTGTCTTTAAAAAAGAAACATGCTATATTATTACTTTCTTTTATCATATACATTAGTAAAACTAAAGATTTTCACTAATCTAATCAATTTAAAAAGTTAAATTTCCTTACAATTTATGTATGGGCACACGTGCGATTATCAAAAAAATAATATTTTATTTCAAAACTCAATAAAATCGACAAAACAAAACAAAACAAATATTGTCCGTGTTTTGATTTGAAGAACAAGACCTCCATTTTAACAAATTTTTCCTAGCGCGTGTACTTTCACGTCTGTGGCGGCAAAGCTATTGACAGGCGATTATTTTAATTTATATACAAAAGTGTTTAGTTATAAAACTTGGGGAGACAAAAATCACTATTTATATTGCATCTACATGCCTCATTATAGTCAACAACTTAGTATCAAGGTCTTCTTTATAAATATTACCAAAATTCTTTGAAACCCTTGAAAAAATTTAATTCGTTTTTACGAAATATTAATTCGTTTTTACGAATTATTATTTCGTAATTACGAAATAATATTTCGTTTTTACGAATTTATATTTCGTAATTACAAAATAATATTTCGTAAAAACGAATTAATATTTCGTAAAAATGAATTAACATTTCGTAAAAACGAATTAATCTTTCGTAAAAATGAATTAATATTTCGTAAAAACGAATTAATATTTCGTAATTACGAAATGATATTTCGTAATTACTAATTAATATTTCGTAAAAAAGAATTAATATTTCGTAATTATGAATTTATATTTCGTAAAAACGAAATAATATGTTTCTATTCAACCTGAAAACTGTAAGAAAGGGCGTTGTCCGCTTGTAATTCTGGATGTTATAGTCATAAAATTCAATGAAAAACAAAAATAAAAAAATACAGCATTTAAAAATATATCTTTGATTTTATATTTCAAAAATTTACTTAAAATATTGGCATTTGGCAACTGCATTTTATTTGTTGTCTTATAACACAGTTAACCCTCCTTTAATCAATTATTTAAATCCATACTTCACGTTTGAGCAAAATTTAAATGTACATATTTGTTATCTGGATAAAAACTTCATAAATAATACATTTCTAGCAAACTTAAAACTTAAATTGTCTTCCATTTTGTATCGACATACCGTAGGTGATATATTGGCATATAAATATCGTTCATTGTCAAGCTGCCTTAATTTACATTTTCTCACTTATAATCAATATGTCTTAAAACCTCACTGGACATTTTAGCAATAATCAATTATGTAAATCCAATTACATTTGAAATTTCACACCTGCTGGAAATTATACTTTATATTGATAAATTAGCTACCTTTTAGTTATCAGTTAAGAGAAGTTATTTTAGCTTTGAAACATACAATTATATCATTAATCATGATGGTGATGGTTCAAATTTATTTAATAATAAATTTACTTATCTTCTGAAATTTACATGTCAAATCTGTACATTGAATCTATGGAATTATTTTATTGACATTTTAATAATTTTTGAAATTATGAAAAATAATGTTGCCCTGCTGAGGAAGATTAATAATAACATGAAAACATTATCTTATCGTAGACCAGTCAAAGGTATCGCGAGTTTTATTGGTAGAACAGAGTGAGAATTTCAATTGATTCATCAAATATTTGCCAAACATTCTGTGAAATGTAGCAGATATAAAAATATATGTACCAACTTTAATTTCAGAAATTAATCTTAATTTTATTACAGAAATCAAGGTACAGATAAAAAAGAAAATTCAAAGTTAAGAGAAAAATACATTCAAAATTAAAGTGAACACTCTTTTAAAACATGTTAATGGCATTTATCCAATGTACAGAGGAACAAATATACAAAATTGTCAGAAGCTTATACATTGTGCTGGTACACAAGAAACATCAAGACTATATAAAGTCACCTCTAACTAAAAAAATAAGCCTCGATCTCTCACACTGCAGAGGTCAAACATGAGCATCTGAATTGATACAAATTAAATCGACAATCATGTCGCAAAATATTATTGACTATAAGATTATTGAAAAATTTAGAACATAATCTTACTAAATCTTAAGGCATTGTGAAACTATGTCTTATATAATGTAAACCCATCGTGACTGGATGCATGCTGGGTTGCTCATGTAGCTTATTTCTCCATCGACAATCACATTAAAATAAATTCTGTATAAACTAAAATTCATGTAAAAACTTCTATTTTATGTTTTCTTTTTGTATTAAAAAGCGATGCATTATGTATCATTCTAGTAGAAGTTTTATAGCAATGAACTATAAGGCGGCCGATAAATGCGAAAATAATGGCGATTTGGGGGAACATGTACAAGGGCAGGGTGTTTGGACCATAATCGAGAACGCAATCGATTTTGTGGGAATTATTCCCCCCCCCACCCCCCTCCACACACACAAATAAAGTCTTAAGCCCGATCACAACAATTTGAATCATTTCTGTGCAATTGATATGGATCCCATAATAGTTAAAGTTTTTTCATTTGTAAATGTAGACATTATGTCGACTGCCATTCTATATGCTCAAAGTTCATAAGTTTGTACATTAGTACATAAAATATATGTTTTATAAAGAAAGTTTATTTTTTTTTACAAAAATGACTAAAATCTTTTACAAGAAATAGCACCAAAATAAACTTTACAAAGAACTGAATATCAGGCCTGGACATCGTGGACGGGAATAATCTATCTTAAAATTGTACAACTTTTTATGAACATATAAAACATTAGTTTGATGGGAATACATAAGAGTTTTCTTGTTTATTACAAATTATGTTATGTACATTTTATTATACTTTACATATATTTGATAATATGTAAAAAAATAAAAATAAAACCCTTAATTTTCATATGGGTAGGGGAAATAAGCGAATTCAAACAAATCTACTTAACATCTATAAAACAAAGCAAACATACCTTCGTAGTAAAGTTATAATCCGATATGATTAAAATAGACACACCAACGGTGGTAATCTCATTCAGTTTTTTTCTTATCAGTAATGCAGTTTTCAATTTATATCTTAAACATACATCTGGTATCTCATTTACTCGTGCTATACTCGTGCTCCTGTAGAATGAAAATCAAACATTGTGCAATATATGACTTAGATGTAAATTCGAGAAATGATTTATATGTAAAGCAACGACAATAAAAACAACCACAATACTTTTTTATATTTCTTTTTTAGATTTAAGAATTAAAAAATGGAAAATATTTTAATTGAAAAGTTTTCTTATCATGAAGTACAACAGTTAAGGTGGTAATAGCATTATCTTAACATTAATTGTAAATAACTTCTTATATGAGTTATGTGACCTATGGTTGTGACCTAAACCTGCATCAGCATGAGAAGTTAGGAGAAAAAAAGCACATAATTATAATGCATGAATAAATGCATGGATAAATACATGGATTATAAAAGCATAGATCAAATATTAATAAAGCTATAAATACAAGATGGATACATAGATAAGGAATTCAATAAATGAATAAATAAATAAATAAATAACTTAAAAAATACATAAACTTATAAATGACAGTAAAGAAAATAATAAGATAAATAAACAAATAACCCGTCTCGAAGTAACTATACATTTGCATATATACACAAATTTTGTTTTATGTAATCTTATGTCATTAACCCACTTACCTCATTTGGTACAGCTACCACAAATGCTTTAAAACTGTGTATCACTCTTATCCTATCAAAAGAATAAGATAAAAGCCTGTGCAACGACACTATTAAGGTCGTAAAAAACTATTTCTCAATTACATTGTACCGCTGTTCATCGAAGAAGAGTCATTTCTTGTAATTTCTTGATTAAATGTATACAAAATTGGTCCAGTAGCATTTTATGACGCACTGAATTGTCTGGAGTGTGTGGTTTTAGCAAGAATGTAAAAATAAATTGAAATCAGATGTTCTTGTTCCGTTTACGTTATAATATAAATGTATTTCGATAATGCATGGTTTTCTCTTCTTTAAGGCTAAGCGTCGAAATTGAATTTAATAATGTTTTTTCCCCCAAAATATCAAGTAAGACACTTGTCAATAGACAGATTGGCTCAATCCATTGGGGAGTAGTTCGGTAGTTTTGTAAATCCAAATCAAGTGAAAGGTCCAGACTTGAGGGGTAGTGAATAACAAAATCCCCTCTAAATAAGACTGCACTAGATCTTTCCCCCTCACTAGATCTTTAGGTCTCAAAACCCATAACCGTCCAGAGTTTTTATCATGTAATCTTCCAAGATAAAATACTTAATAAATCTAGCCTCGTGAGAGCTGTGTACTTATCCAATAATATTCAGTATCGAGCTTAACAATGTATAATAAAAAATAATATTTGTGATATAAATGCTATGTTAAACTAATGAACATAAGTTGTTATTCATTCGACCTAACTATTATCATTAAATTTGAAACAATACGTTTACGTATTTATAAAAGGAAACTGGACAAAAGGTAAAGGATGTGACACTCGAATTTAAATTAGTAAATAGATCATATATGCTAAATAACATCGCCATCTGATTCGTATCACGGGAAGTGCGTGATTAAAATTATGTTATTGTAACTAAATTTGATCACAGTGAAAATCTTTATTATTTCGGTTGGGCTTAACGTCACACAAACTTTGTAAAGGTCATATGGCGAATTTTCAGCTTAACTGGTGAAGGAAGACTTTAGGTGCTTTCCGAACGGGAAATTAGAGCCACCGACGGTCCATAAGCTAGCTGGGTAACTTTCATACATTAAAAAATCCGAGGTCCTCGGTGGGATTTGAACCCACAGCGGCGAGTCATCGACCTTGACCTCTCGATCGCGGACATACGCCTAGCCTGCATTTGTTAAGTCTTTACTTGTAAACCGGTGTATATTTGTGTAGAGAGTCATTTTTATTTGTAAATTTCGTATTTTGAGCCTGTATTTCTCTATATACGAATTAATTAAAACATTTATGAAATAGTTTATCTCAATTCTAAAATCATTTTATTGTTTTGTATCACAAAAAAAAGATTAATAAAAAACAACAAAAAACACCATCACTCATTTTTCAGACTTGACAAAACATATATATATATAATCTTAAACGAGTTTAAAGAAATAGCAGCATTTTAGGCAGCAGAAAGATCAAATAGATAGTATAAAATGTTAACGGGATTAAAATAAATATGTATGCGTCAAACGTTTGCCAATAGGTTGATGCGCCAGAACTATTTTCTGGTCCGATACAAAATCTTAACTGTTTCATAAAATTTTCGTAAATGATTGCAATAAAAATCCCGTGAAAAGAAACAGTCGGAATAAGACAAACGCCTGTTTTAACAGCTATTCAATAATACTACAAGAATGTTGTGAAAAGAGACGTTTAGGACAGGCTTCGTTAATCAAGCAACTACTAAAAAAGCTTTCAAAAATACAAACATATAAAAAGAAAATTACTACAATAGAGCCAAATTTACACAAAACCCTCTCCACTGGCAGCACACATTTAAAGCATTAGAAATGATGTAGTACCTCTCTTATTCGCACTGCAAAACAAAATTGTTTTCAAAAAGTGGCCAAATTATTCACTGAAGTCAGAAATTTTAGCTTCAAGATTGGTATAAACTCATTTAATATTTCATGTCTCCGGCCGATAAACTAACTATACCACATCTATTCAACTATGCTACTTGCTAACTTGCTTTTGATTTATTTTTGAAGCAAATATTCTGAATGAATTCTTTTCTGCACAAGCGTCAATAAACAGCTCCAACACTGACTTACCAAGAAACTTATGTCCATCTCTTAAAAACAAACCAGAGCAACATGATCCCACAAGATGCAGAAGACGCAGTGAGATCATAAAAGTAAATGAAGGTTCAGAGCCAGATAGTATAAATACCAGAATGCTACAAGAAATTGCATTTGTTGTTAAATACCCTCAATCAATTTGTTCGATGCAGCTAGAAAAGATGCCTCATTACCGAACAATTTCGTCCAATATCTTTACTTTGATGAAACGAAAAAGTTCTTGATCGTATTTTACGTAACTGTGATTGAACCTTTCTTTGTGATAACGAAAAAGACGAGAAGAAAGATCAACAAGATAAAGGCAACGTTCACAGAACGCAGTCCCTAATACACTCAACCTACCACAGCAACAAACATAATTCCTTTTTTGTACAGTCTGGATTTACACCAGGAGACTCAACAGTCAACCAGCTTACTCATTTACACAATACCTTTTGTTAGGCTAGAAGTAAGAACAGTATTGTTTTTTTTTTATATAAGTAAGGCTTTCGACACGGTTTGTTTTGTATGGTTTTATAGCCCACCAACACAATCTAGGTCATAAAGCACCGAAATAGGAAAGGTGATTTTGGAAAACTTCGGATGTTAAAACCATAAAGCAACACCAAGGGTCAAAACCACCTCACCTGCTGGGGCTAAGATATACATAGATTCCAGTAACTAATTTAGTCGCATCTTGCAGTGATAAACGATGGTCGCAATTCTGATGCCTCAACCCTTACAGTTGAATCCTCAGCCATTGTGAAGAAATTAAGAAATGCAGGATTAAACGGAAAATAGCTGAATTGGCTTTTTGATCGTCATACTAACAGATGCCAATGTGTCGTTCTTCTTCTTGGTGCTATGTATAATTGGTCAAATGTAAATGCAGGAGTTTCGAAGGATCTATTCTTGGAATTCCATTGTTCCTGGCATACATCAATGATGTAGTTCACGACTTGAACTCAAGCATACATCTCACTGCCGATTGATATTAGTTTGCACATAATTGTTGACTATCCAAAGTCAAGAACTTGTTTTGTTTTACAAAATGAGAAATGTTTCTGTATCATAATACATTTCTGTCATCTACTTCTAGAGATTTGAACTCACAAGAAAAAAATGCAAAACTCAACATCATTGTCCTCCTTTGAAACGCAACTTAAAGGTGACATGAAAATACTCCAAATACTATTATATAGATGTGAGAAAATGGCAAGTCATTAACACACGACTCTGAACAGAATGTAGCTTTCTAAACAATCATTTATTCAGAACAAATACATCCCCATTTCAAAATTTCAATGTGAACTCCTGAAAAGAAACCACCACTCCTTCTTTGATTTCACTTCTATTATAATATCAGCCAAATATTTATAACAGTAGGCAGTTTGACAACCAGAACTGGTAAAAAATAAATAAAAAATACATACTCTTTATCAGGCGACAAAAATAGGGTTATTAATTTCCTCATAAACAGACAATCGCTGGTTCTCCTTTGAAAAGAACCAAATGAAAAATGCAACAGAACCAATGCCCCTACCCTCCCGACTAAACGGTGTATTTAATGCTCGTGACAAATAATAATAGTAATAATAATAATAATAATAATAATAATAACATCCCCATTTCAAAATTTCAATGTGAACTCCTGAAAAGAAACCACCACTCCTTCTTTGATTTCATTTCTATTATAATATCAGCCAAATATTTATAACGGTAGGCAGTTTGACAACAGAACAGGTAAAAAATAAATAAAAAACACATACTCTTAAGCAGGCGACAAAAATAGGGTTATTTATTTCCTCATAAAAGATAATCGCTGGTTCTCTTTTGAAAAGAACCAAATGAAAAATGCAACAGAACCAATGACCCTACCCTCCCGACTAAACGGCGTATTTATGCTCGTGACAAATAATAATAATAATAATAATTATAATAATAATAATAATAATGAGAGGAAGAAGAAGAAGAAGAAGAAGAAGAAGAAGAAGAAGAAGAAGAAGAAGAAGTAGAAATGATGTTTCATGTTACCATTCGCAGAAATGTTACCAAAATAAGCATTTCTCTGTAAGTATCAAAAAATTTATTATAGACTTATTACTAAAGACTTAAGACTTGTATATAACTTAATATTATTAATATATATTTATAAAGTCAACAAGTTGAAAGTAAATGAATACATACACTGGACACCTGGGCATTATATTCATAAATGGTACATCGAAATAAAAATCAAGCAAGTTAACTAACTATAATTTTATATACTCGTATAAATAATTTAGTTAGAATTTTTGGCAATTTGATATTTTTTGCTGTCCTGTAGCATAATTTCAAATTCTAACTTCCCATAATAAATTATTTCAATACTTGAGCAAACTTGATTAAACATATTTTTATCTAGATAAAGACTTCATAAATAATACATTTTAAAAATTCAGCAAATTAAACTTCCCTTTATATTTTGCTGTTATACCTAAGGTGAAATATTGGCAAATAAATATCACGTACTTTTTTAGTAGCATAATTTGACATTTTTCAATACATTTTTAAACCTTTAAGCAATTTAGTTTCCTATAATCAATTATTAAAAATCCGCTGCTAGCCTTTGAAACTTTGCACCTGCTGAAAATAATACTTAATATTCATACATTAATTACCTTCAAATTATCAGTTTAAGAAATGATAAACATTTTAAACATACATTTAGATCTTTAATCATGATGGTGATTTTTCAAATTATTGTAAATTTTATATTTTCACCTTCTGAAGTTTTTTTTGTCAAATCTGTACATTGGATCTATGAAAATATTTTATCGAGGTTTCAACCACTTTTCAAAGTAACAGATTGATTATGAAAATAATTTTATTTTGCCGATAGAAAATATTTTCAATATGAAAATATCAACTTATCGCATACAAGTCAAAGGTATTATGAGTTTTATTGGCAAAACATGAGTAAACTGTTTGATTGATTTATCAAATATTTGCCAAACATTCTACAAAATATGGCAGATGTAATTTTTAAAGATTTGCACGTCATGACTTTAACATGCGTTTGCTTATTATGTAATGTTTTATTGGGAAAAAAAAATCCAATAATATTCGCAAATACGGTTTAGTTTTGACCTAATCAACAAGAAAGAAAATGAGATAAAAAACGACCAGAAACAAACACAGAAGTAACCATCATCAAGACTAACGATTAAGTAAAAAAAGAAGAAAAAAAGAATACAACAATTTAAATAAACCTTTGTTTTGCATTGCCATATCTCATTAATAGTGGCAAATAAATATTGTTTGTTGTTTTGTAGCAGAAAATCCAATTTTTTCCTCCCTAATATATGTATTTAAACCATTACCTAAACTTTAAGCAACTTTTCTTTCCTATAAACAATTACTTAAATCATTACCTAATCTCTGAGCTACATTTCACGTTTACCTTTACTATAATCAATTATTTGAATCAACTACTTCGGACCTGCTAAAATTAATACTTACTCGTAATATTAATAATTTTACCACCTTTTAACTTTTAATTAGAGAAATGATTTTAGCTTTTAAACATTAATTTTAACCATAATCATGATGCGAATGATTCAATTCATTTTAAAATAAAATATTTTCACATTATGAAGTTTTCATGTTGAATCTATATCGTTAATCTATGGAAATATTTTATCGACATTTTAATCGCTTTACAAAGTAACAATAATATTTTCTGCTGAAGGAAAATGATTTCAACATGAAAAATATCATCTTATCGCAGCCAGTCAAAGGTATCGTGAGTTTTATTGGCATAACGTGAATCTCAAACGTCATTAAAGTGCTTGCACGTCACGACTTTGACATGCATTTGGTTTTGACATCATTCCAATAAATTGCGCAAACTCCGTTAAGTTTTAAGCTAATCAGCGACCTAAAGAGATAAAAGAAGAAAATAAAAGATAAATAAAAAACTGCAAACGTGAAAAATAATAAAAACAA